CATTGGATTTGATTTAATTTTGACTAAACCCAGATAGGCCTTCAGAGTTGAATTATTTGTGTTCACACGATATAATGCCATTATAAATCACCATAAAAAAGAAACGATGAAAGATTTCACGTATTTGGCTTAAAAAATATTTATAACCTTGCCAACTCGGGAGGTTGTCAAGTTTAGATTCACATTACAGCGTCGCGTTGCCGAAAAAAAATCGCGATTGGGTCGAGTGACAGCTTATAAAAAATGTAATTTAGAAATGTTTATGTTTGCATTTAGTTGAATTTAATTCTACGTACAGAATATCAAAAAGTAGAATAAACAAAACGTTAGTCAACATCGTTTAAATGTAAGTATTTTGGAAATCTATTTCAACTTTTGCCATATATAAGTATGTGTACATTTTTTGATCTGGAACAAACAAACTGAATGTTATAAAGCAGTGTTTTTGCTTCAGTTTGGCAATATTTGTGTTATGTTATATTTACATGTTGGTAATGTGTTATGCTACATTTCCATGTTACATATATCATTATCAATTACATGTCCATGGTAATGATACTAGTTCAGTTTTGTTTATCTTTTAAATGGTCACTTTGTTTAATAAATTATTATGGCTTTTTTATATAATAATTTTTAAATTTGTTTATTAGAAAAAATTGTTTCGTTTATTTAATTAGTTTAACAATCTGCCAAATTAGAGGAAGCATAATTATTTAATATACAATTTCAATAAAAGTGTTTCATTAAAAATTAAGTGCACAAGACGTATAATTATAATAATTGTATAATACAATGTATTTTACAGTTTATCACAGTTGTATTTTTTATACAGTTTAGAAAAATGCTTATTCGGTGATAAAACCCTTTGTTTCAGAAACGAGCAAGTCTATTACCCTTTGTCTACGACACTTGTTAACTTGGAAGTTACTTTTGCGTTTAGCATTTAATTCTACAACCAAGTTTGTATTTTCTGAAAAAAATAACTTTCTTGGTGCTTCCAAGCTTGGTTTTACGCTAATAATAAAATTTGTATAATTTATCTATTAATATTTAGGGCAAATGTTTTCTTTATAATTCTTATGCGGCGAATAAAGTTTGTTAAAATAAATAAGCTCAATCTGCTACCGGTTGTAAAATTTTATAGCCTTGATTTTTTTTGATAAATCATAAATCACTATTATATCAAAATTACATGTTTGCTTAAACATTTGCATATGTAGACATTTCGTGTTTTTTTTTTGTCGAAATCTGTCATGCAAAATCTTATTTGTGTTTGAGCTTGTGACCGCAGTTATTGGGTTGGAATTAATTTATAAAAATTGTTAAAATGGATATGACGTTGAGCGAGTGTTCAATTGGTTTATGATAATTAACTAGATGAAATAGTGCATGAAAAGTTTGGTACGCAGTTATCTGATAAACTGTGTAGACGCAGATTATTTCGATAAACAAATTAGCTTAATACTACTGTTGGTCGTGTAAATATTTTTATAAGAACTGATTTTATCGGGAGATACATCTAATACATCTGGTACAAAATAAAAGCAGCTGTTACAATTTTATTGCAAATACTTTAGGTACATCGTACTGCAATATTGTTTTGTGTTCAGCAAGAATTTCTTCATTTCTAATAAGATATGACTAAACTTGAGTCATTGRCAGGAGAAGAGAATTAATCAATTTAAAGATTTGGAAAATCAGGTGCAAGTTATAGAACGTCTGCCACATTTATAGATTAAATTATTAACAATTATTTCACTAAAGTAAAGATTTTTGCTAAATTTACGTCAGTCTGAAATCTCAACTTTCATTAATAAAAGTTCCAAACTTTTGGTGTCTTTTAAGCTTCTTAACTTTTATCAGTTGTTTGAGTTAAGTTAGTAGTGGATTTCTTTTGTAAAGTCTAAAAAGCTGCAAACAAAAAATATTTCATAACTTTTGTCAAAAATTTGAATGCAGGAAGACATTTCGTCATAACAGAATTTTGTCTTTTCTGTTTGGTAAAAGTTTTTGAAGCAATAATTTTTTTAATGTTGTTAACAGTTAATATTTAACTTAAAAAGTTAGTTGAAAATTAGCGAGAACAAAATTATGAATTTTATAGTGATGCTTAAATCCGAACCTCAGTTTGGACAAAAATGTACTCATTTTTCATCGCTACGGTTTCGAACTAATATTTTATGTAACTAACAACGTAAATTTAAGATGGTCGCAAAAAGTGATCAATTATTTACATTATTTTTTTTTCTGTGAGTATATTAGTGATTTAATAATTTTGAAATTTCTTGTCCGATTTTTTAATGAAACGTTTCGTATGCATTGCACGCAACATAGCTTATGCCAATGTAATACSTAACTAAGGTGAGTATAATTACTAATTTATTTGCATAACAGTGATGCATACCTAATAATTTCGTTATTGCAATTACTATATAAATTTTCAGATTGTTTAACCTTTTAAAAAACCTTTGTTACAACTATGAGATTTGATCAATTAAAAGATGACACTTTTTTAACCTTATTCTAAAGGACAAAAAAGCATAAACACGTGAACCTGTGTAAATTAGTTTATTTTGTCTTCAACTCTCCATAAACTATATAAAGAACGTGGAAGGAGTTGCTATAATGTCTCATATAACTAACGCTTTTACACAAATTAACTGTTTGGAGATTTATAAAGTATACGTATAATAGTTAAAGTGACTCAGTTTGCAAACATACATAAAAGCTGTAGCACATCTCTATTTATAATCAACAGTTAAAAACTAATAAAAAATCAGGTTTTTAATCGATAAAGCAATTCTTAAAAAAAAGTTTTTCTGTGCTCACAAAAGGATACTAATACTAATGTTTATTAAAAGGTTTAAGTTTTGTCTTTTGTTTTATAAAATATTGTTTACAATCTGCTAGACACAACAAAATTTGAATACCTTTCATATACATGCAGGAGACAGCTTTTGTCAAAAGTTGAAAGTAAAACTATTATTGTACGTTAAGCTTATTTAGAATTTGGATCTTGATAGTTTAATTAAGATAACATAAGTTTAGAGAAAGCACATTGAAACATTTTTGAGTCAATTAAAAAAGCTCTGTTTTTTGTTTAGGYAAACAGCTAACCGATTAAATTCTGATTATCTGTGTAAACATATCAACGCCATTCGCTATGAGAGTCGTTATTTTAATCAACCCTTAATAAACATACGTATTTGCTAGCCATAATTTTAAGCGCTCCTAAATGTAAAATACGCACCTCCATCGCGTTGTATGAAAATTTCATTAAAAACGGGAAATGAATCGTAAGCCGCTTGAAATTACTGGTCTCTTCCGCAACAAAATAAATCAGCAAAAAAAGTGGACACTTTCAGTTCACCACAAGAAGTTTTGTTAATTTAGATTTGCTGTTTTTAGTTGACACATTTAGCTTATTTGTCCGGTTAATGAATCTTGTAGAAAAGCTCTACTTCACCTCGATTCATTTGCATCTATAGTAGAAGCAAAAAAAAAATAAAGTGTTGATGGTGAAATAGGGTCCCTTTGTTATTAGGTCTTAAGAAGTTAAATCGAGACGAAAAGACAATTTCCTGTGTGGCGAAACGATTTTTTCATCAGAGGCATTCACTTTGTAAATTCCTCGCAAATATTGCATCTCATATTTTTTGAGTTGTTTACAGGACGAAGAAATGAAATAAGTCAATAGGTTGGAATTGTGTCGTGAATATTATTTTAGAGAGATTATTATTTATTTACTATGTACTAATAAAAGTTAATTTTTTAWACTGTGTACGGCAAATCTATTAATGTTTATTATTTTTGTATGACTATGTAAATTATTTCGACTGTAGCGATGACACCAGAATTTATATAAATCAAACTGAAATATGCATACAAACAGTAGTAAGAATTTTCATTGCATTGAAATAATAACTAACGAAATATTTTTACTTCGAGTAATACGTTTGATGCATGTTTTTATAAACTTGTATAAATATACATTTTTATATATTTTTGGTTCTATTTTTGGTCGAGAGAGGAACTAGTTTGAACGAAAAACTTCCATACTCAATTATAAAAGTTTATTATAAATTTAAAAAGTGTTACGAATAAGTAGGTATATATGCAGATTAAATTTTGACTCGCTTTGTTCATTTATAAATATTACAAATGCAATTAGGGTTTACAAATTTTGTCATAATATGGTTTCAATAATTTTTTATTAAATACATTAATTAAATTTGATAACAACAAATAGCAACTAACTTTTTAGGATAACATGTTTTGTGGAGCAATTTTTCTAATGAAACAGCTTTGCTCCGGAAAATATTACATTCATCACGGTTGTATATGAAACTTTAGTGTTGAAAACCAAATTTTTACAGCTAACTTAATTGCATTAGAATTTTGCTTCTTAAACCTCAATTCAGGCCAGCACAGCGCCAGAGTCCAAATTACATTTTAYAAATCCGACAGGATTTCATTGCAAAGTTTTGGTGAAAATGTAACCCTTTAAAACTGATCACACACTTTTTTTATTGGAAATTGAATTTTTCCACTCTTCCTAGCTATTTATCAGATTGGAAATAAAAAGTAATTCAAAGAAATGCATTTCTCTTGTATAAAAACTTGAGTTCATTTATCACAGAAAGGGTTTAAGTTTTACAAAATTTATTAGTAGATTTTTTATAACAACTATAACATTTTTACTCAGATTTAGGAAAGGTCGTTGAGGGCTTTTAGCGAGTTGTTAAACGAAGTTTTGCCAGTTCAAAGCCTCGTTAAATGCTTGTTTATGAAATAATCTACGCTTGTTTGAGCCAATTAATTGGCAAGTAAAAAAAAGTAAAAAAAAWCTTATAAATGGTTATTCAATTAAATCAAAATGTTTTACATCACAGCGAAACAATAACATTATTAATAGATATCATTGTTTCTATTTGTTTATATGATAAACTAAGTGACGTCCTTTCGCAAGTTGTTTTCTCAACTTTCCTTCAAAGACTTACTTTTTGTACTCCAAGACTTTTTAAGATGAAACCACTTAATAGTGTGGGTGAGCGCAAACTGAATACTGGCAATTTTTTTAAATTTCTGAACGCACAACGAACGCGACTTGATGCACAGGAGGTCTTTAGCCAGCAAGGAGCGACGCGCATACTGATAGAGAATACTGCCGTCGCGGCGACCCTTGATATTGATACTAGATACCCCCACTCGACCAGTAGGGTAAAGTCAGTTTGTCAATTTTGCCTAATTTTGTTTGTTTCGGTCACAAAAGCTAAGAATTATTTTGGAAAGTTTAACTTAGTTTTTGTGTACTTTCGCAAAATTAAAAATTCCGAATGATGAGATATATGAACATAAATGCAAATTATTATTGCCTTTTAGATTAAACTACTTTTAGCTATTTAAATCTAGTGCACAAACTTGTTTCAAATATATAAAATCAATCATTAAACATACACATAATTAAAATGATAAATAATTTTGAATGATGATAAATGATAATAATAGTTATTTACATGAACATAATTTTTTTTTGTGTGTTTCTAAGGTATATACTGGAGTTTTGGAAACATTTTTTTTGTACTATTTTAAGTTTTGTACAGGTATTATTAAAGCAGTAGTTATAAATTTTGTTTCTGGCTGATCTAATTTAATAGGATATTGTCAATTTAAATAATTTGGTTAGTAAAACACAAACAAAGAAAGTAATTGTCGGGACTTGAGAATTTAACCTCTTTATTTCTCATTGTTCTAAAAACTAAATTAAAACTAAAAAAACTGTGCTGATGTTTCTTACAGAAACGCATCTGAAGACAAACGTAATTCATATTTAATGCTCTCGTTAATTTGATGTTTTCTTTAATAAAAAWGCTGTTTCTTTTATGTAACATAAATGAGCTTTGTAAAGTTGAAATTGCATTTTGTTAATTAATTTTAGTTTCAAACAAAAAAAATTGTAAACACGTTGAAGTTTTTAAGTTTATTAAATTGTGTATGGTTGCTAAATTTCCAGCCCAATTAATTTTGTGTCCACTGCATTTTCGCAGTACAATATTAGTGATAAAGTTTGGCTAAGTTAAAATGCAGCAAAGTAAATTTACTGTAGTTTGCAGAAACGACACTCCTGAAGATAAATGAATAAATTTGGATATCTATTTGCATAAGCTGCGAATTTATTGTAATGTTATCTATTCTTTTGATCTGGACTTTTTYGAGATAACGAACTTTATATTTAACTTTGTTTTGCAACATTTAAAACACTTTTTTTGTTTAATTTTTATAAAATTTGTAGTGTTTGTAGTACAAGCTTTAAACATTTAATGATTAGTAAACAACACTTTCCACAGCTGTCAATGTCAAGTGTATGATTAATGATGGAATGAAAAATTGTGAGAAAAGTTGCATGAAGAGATGGATGGTTATTAAAATTTTATGTCAGCAAATAAGTAAAAAAGTGTAACTATCATAGTGTTAGAAAAAGTTAAAACTTCATATTATAATTTATTGAGTTAATTATTAAAACACATTTATTCTCATATTGCCACCATTTTTTTGCAATTAATAAATCAGATAAGTAAAAAAAATATGGCATATTTTTTCAATTAAGGTTTTGAGCAGATTTTAAATTTACATTGAGCCATTTATTAATTAAAATTAAAGGTAAATATTATATAGAAGTCAACATCGATTGAAAAATATTCTACTCACGCCGTGATTTGGAGAAATTTACGGCACACTCCAGAGAAATAAATAACATTTTGGATSTGTAGTTAACAAATACTTCTTTATTTTTAATTTTTGCTACAAAATCATCATTCAAAACTAGCATTGTTGCCTCTCAAACCTTGAAACCACAACAGCTATATTTAAACTAAATTTATAAGATAACATCGCACGCCCAGTTTAACCTCAGATTTATTATTTTATACGTGATCGTAGTTTATTCCCTCTAAGCTTTTTGGTGTTGTTGTAAACAAAGAAAACACATTTTTTTTAAATACGTGTAATAATAGATTTACAACAATCTTTTATAGTTATGTTTTTTATTTTAATATTTTGTTTTGTTGATTTATCTATTGCAGAGTGAAAAATGTTATTATTGCACCCGGCGCCTTCACCAATATTGACAATTTATATAAGCAAAATTTCTCGCCTTATTACGCCTGATTTTACAATATTATAAAGCCTAAATCGTTGATAACATTAATTAAATAAAAAAAATTGAGTTGGAGTTGTAAATATTTTCTTTTAGACATATCTGTTGAGAAGAGTTTTGAACGTGTTGGGAATGACGAATTGAGCAAGAAATGTTACTACAAAAGAAAAACTGAGAAATGCATATGTGACTTGACTTTTAATAATCTTAAATTTTATTGTTTATTGTTTAGTCGTATCGTACGAAAGAAAATACTTGATTGTTTTTATTATTGCGGGTTGATTGCCTTTAAATGATAACTAAAGTTGTCATAAAAGTAAAATGAAATATTTATTATTAATATTACAATTTTTGATAAAAAAATTTAAAAACTTTAATAATGTTTAAAAGATTCGAGTCTAAGTTAAGTTATTTAAAAGCTGTAGTTTCGAATTAAGGTTTAGCGCTGAGTGAAGAATTTTCCTAAAATAAATAATTTAAGGTTTACCGCTGTAAGAAGAATTTTTCTAAAATCAATAATCTTTTGTGTTTGGTTTTTAATTAATTTTTATGTTTATTTTCTCGGAAATTGGAAAAGAAACTAATAAAGGTAAAATTTGTTTGGCGACTCTAATAAGCATAAAGCATCTTTTTAACAGTGAACTGTGAAAACTTTAGTATTTTTGTTTTGATAAGAGAACTCAAAAAGTTTGTAACAAAGATTTATTTAATGTTGCAACAATGGATGAAAAATAAAGTTAGACAAGTCTGTCCAAGTTGATCAAACTGAGACATTGTTTAAATATTTTCTCACAAGTTGGCAACTGTCTCTAACGTACTTAAAGTTTGCCTTAAGATTTAATACAAATTTCTAATCTTTGATAACTTTTTATTACTTATTTGTAAAGATTTTTTCTTTAGTGAAAAAATTCAATAGCCCTGCTTTTATAAACCATTCATTCAAAGAAGTTGAATGATTGTATGTAAAAGTTTTATTCTGCTAGATTATCTACAAATCGTACAGACAGAGAAAAAGTTAAATTATTAAAATTTCCAATTTGCCTTTTTGCGAGCATAAATCTGGCTTTGTTTTTCAAGAGTTATTACATCTTTATTTGCTTTTATTTTTATTGTATTTGTATGTTTTGCGTTCATATCTTACCCTTAACTGWGTTAAAGCAGAAAATTTGTAGTAACGATTTTCCGCGGAATTTTATTCTGAAAGTATAATCGTTTTCGCAACCTTGAACATGGCTATGCTTTTTGAATTTTACGCTGGAATAATTCCAGTCAACTTTTTGAATTAATATCAAAATATTCAGAATAAAAACGAATAMGATCTAGATTGCTCAAATGAGAATATTTAATTGAAATAAAATAAGCTAGRTAATATGTAGTTTTACTCTAATTTTARCTCGCTCGTATTRATTGAGGTAAACTGTTGTTTAAATAAGCAATTGACTGATGACCAGGCTTGAGGTAATTTTCCTTTAATGTTGAGTTCAAAATTTCATCAAGTTCGACTAACCCTATCTACCGGAAATGAGAATTTGCGTCATTATATTCTCTCTCGTAGATTCGAATTATTGATTTAAGTTTATTAATTCAAATTGTGCACAAGATTGTACATTTGCTCTACTTAATTTCTCCGAAACACATTTTTTTTGGGCACTACAAGACGAGTCATTATTCTTTAATTCTCTTGTCCGCATACTTCATCGAGACAAAAATTTTAATTACTTACTTGGTATAACGAATTAGTGGCATAATAACGACAACATCTGGCATTTAACAAATAAATAGTCAAAAAAATTGACTCCTATTATTTTAAAATCGATGATTTTGTGAACAAAGTAATTTCAACAAACGAATAATTTTCTATTCAAAGAGCAACGTAATGGCAATTACTGGCAGAATTTTACTCTTACAAATTTACCTTTAATAGCTCCAGTTTCGTTGAGTAYTCTATGTATATTTTAATAAAAGATATATGTTTTATTTATGCATGCAATGCATGTTTATATTAAYTGTGGAAGAACGCTTTTAAGCAAATGAATAAAATTATGAATTGACCTAGCGCATCCACCGTATTTTAAGATACAATAACTTACAATGGCTTATCCCAGTTATTTTTTACACCTGACATAAAAACTTTTAAKTAAAATTTTGTCACATGTTAAAATTTACACACTAATCCGAGCTCTAGTTTCACAATTTTTAGTGAAAATCTTTTATGGATTTATATCGCACACTTCGTAGAACGGAGGCTTAGCRCTCACTGAGCTAGATAAATAAAATCCTCGGAGAATATCAAGTTAGGGATAAATCTACTAACATCGTCTTTTGGGCCACTTGTGAGGATTTATCTGAAAGGAATTCAATACAGCCAATAAACCCAACATTCGGTCTGATGTAGTCAATTGAGACAAATTGGATCTATATGCATTTAATTGAGTTTGCGGAGCGTTTTACACTTTTTTGTGTCGGTAAACACAAAAGGGTAAAGTCAGTTTTTTGTCTCTAATTTCTCACATGTAAAGTGTTATTTGTGCGCTATGAGTTTTAACACGGCGGTGTCAATAGATAATCGAACTCAGATTTCGATGAGTTTTTATTTTATAGCAAAAATGCTCTTTTTTTAAAGCGTCAAATGTATGAGTAATTATTTAATCAGTGTTGAAAAATGTTGTTTTAGAAGTGGAAGTTTATTGCTGTTTTCTGTAATGACCATCGAGTGCTATTTATCTTGCAAAGATTTGGATAACAAATATATCATGTTCCTAGAGACTATGCCAGCTTTTGGGTCAATCTGCTACAGTAAATTCTAAAGCTTTTGTCAGCTTTAGTCAAGTGTAAAATATGCGGTATATAGATTGTGTTTTTGTCAATAAATATTTATAGACTTTTTGACCCGCTTGATTACGTATCTATTCTAAATGCATTATCGGACAAAGAAAGTTTCAATAATTTTTTGTTTACACTTCCTATATG